CACACACACACACACAATAAATAAATGTAATAAATAAAAAAATAATAAATAAAAATTAAAAAAAAAAGAAAAATGATAGAAACATTGAACAAACAACAGAAAAATGATAGAAATCTTGAACAAACAATATAGGAAACAAAACAGATTCAGCAAATTAAGAATTCCACTGAAAGTTGGCAAAACTGCTTGAATAAAACTGAAGATAGACACTCAGACCTCAAAGACAGCAGTGCAACTAATGAATGTGAAAGGAAAGATCTCTTAAAACTAAACAAGGAACCAGGAAATAAAAATTCAGCAGCTACACGATGACGCAAAGGAAAAAAAAAAAAAGTTGTCCACAGAACAGCAGGAATCTGCACAAATGACATAAAAAGACTATTTGCAGAAGTAATTGCAGAAAATTTCCCAAACATGAGAAAAGGATCTGCATATAGAATAGCGAGGTGATCCTGCCTCAGCCTCCTCCACTGTAGGGATGTCGTAAGTGTACCAGCCACCATGGCTCCTTGTCTACAAAACCACTCACGACCCAATAAAATATGTTATTCCGAGGAGCAACTTTAGAAACTGTGGCCAATAGATCCTCAGGTGACTCCAGTGATCCCCACCTTCTGGTGCTCACAGCCTCGTGTGACAATCCTCCAGACCTACGTGGGAGACCTGGGACTTGTTTCTAACCAGAGGAATATGGCAGAGGTGATGGAAAGCCAATCTTAACTACCTTAAGGTGCCTCATAACTCCAAACAGCCATAACCAATATAAATCTACACCTAGATACATAATAAATCAAGATCTCAGAGATTCAGCAAAATCTGAGAGAAGATATTGAAAGCTGTTAAAGAGGACACACATCATCCTCAATGGAAATCCCATCATAATTAAAGCAGACTTCTCAACACAAACCATCACATCAAGAAGAACTTGGAGTGAAGTATTTCAGGTCCTGAAAGAAAATAACTTTCCAGAAACATAGCCTCTTTAGTAAATGGTGCTGGAAAACCTGGCTTTACACATGCTGAAGGCTAAAATTAGACCCATTTCTATCACCATGCAATAAACTACAGTCAAAATGGATCAAAGATTTAAACATTAATACAGAAATACTAAATCTCCTGGAGGAAAATACAGTGCAGACTGATACAACCACTGTGGAAATCAGTGTGGAGAGTCCTCAAAAAGCTAGGATTGGAGGTCTCATTCAACCCAGCTATTCCCCTCCTCGGTATTTTTCCAGTAGAACTGAAAACATCATACCACAATGATATATGTGCACCCATTTATATAGCAGCATAATTTTTCAGAGCTAAATCTTGGCCATCAACTGAGGAATGGGTAAAAAAGATATGGCATTTTTTTTTTACACAATGGAGTTATTAGTCAGCTATAAAAAGGATAAATTTGAGGCCTTTATTGGTAAATGGATGCAACTACAGACCACACTCTTAAGTGAAATAAATCAAATCTGCATGTGCAAACACTGCATTGTCTCCTTAGCGTGTGAACCTGAAAGAGAAAATAAAATCTGACGGGTACAGTAGATACTATGGAAAGGGAATGAACCTGCTCAAACGGAAGGAATTACTGAGCTGAAGAGAAGGACCAGAAAGGGAATTGGGGAGAGGAGAGATCTATGTATGTAAGCAGGATGGTTTGGACAACTGTGTTATGGATATCTGCTGTTCTAGGGAAAGAAGCAGTTAATCCTTAATTTGTTTTACCCCTTTTCAATTTTTTTTGCTTTTTTCTCTTTCATATACTGTTTTTCTTTCTTCTTCCAATTTTTTCATGAATATATCTGGAAATATGAACAACTATTTTGAAGACAACACTACGCAATGCAACAAATATTTTGAAATTCATATTATTTTGTCCAGTGAATTTCTGTATCATTTGTAATTTTTATGTTTTAATACTGTTTTGTACTCTTTAAAATCAACAAATCACATGCTGGTGGAGCTGTGTAGCGAAAGGAACCCTTACCCACTGTTGGAGGGAGTGTGGACTGGTGCAACTGCTGTGGAAATCAGTGTGGAGATTTCTAGAGGTCCATTTGTCCTAGTTATTTCTCTTCTTGCTATCTTCTTAAAAGAATTAAAAGTATCATACCACAGCAATATATGAACACCCACATTTACAGCAGCACAGTTTGTAGTAGCTAAAGCTTGGAAATAGCCCAAATGCCCATCAACTGAGGAATGGATTAAAAAGATATGGTTTTTCCACAACACTGGATGGAGTACGACTCTGCCATAAAGGATAAGCTTGAGCCATATCTAACTAAACAGATGCGCCTTGAGACTATACTTGTAAGTGAAATAAAGCAGACACATGTCTAAATGCCACATTGTTTCTCTCATGTGAGAAACCCAAAGTGTAAATAAGGACCAAAATACATAACAGGTTTTTGGAAATTGGAAGAAAATTTTCAGAAGGGGAACTAGGAATAAAGGAAAGAAGGCACAAGAAAGAAAAGATTAAGAAAAATGGAAACAAGCTTTTGTAAATAAAGGGGGAAAGGGGTTGGAGGGAAGTGGAATGGGAAGAAAGGAAGCAGCAAGATGCTTCATGTAGAGGGATGAATTTCCTATGGTGGGAGTCACCATACTGTGTATCTAAAATGTATGGAAAAAGCATGCTTGCATTGACAGGAAAAGAACATTCCTGGAGGTGACAGACTGCCCTAGCTCACTCATCATTACACAGATCTTTGAGGCTTGTGATGCTCCAGGAGAGAGAAGGAAATTAAGAGAGACTGCAAGATGAGGTGTAGTGTTGCAAGACCCACACCTGATCAGACGGCACTTTTATCTTTGCTTTTTTTGACAGGGTCTTTCTGTGTACTCCAGGCTGGCCTTGAACATACTATACAGGCCAGAAGGGCCCTGAACTCATGGTGATCCTGCCTCAGCCTCCCCCACTGCAGGGATGTCGTAAGTGTACCAGCCACCATGGCTCCTTGTCTACAAAACCACTCATGACTCGATACAATATGTTATTCTGAGGAGCAACTTTAGAAACTGTGACCAACAGATCCTCAGGTGACTCCAGTGATCCTCATCTTCTGGCACTCACAGCCTTGTATGACATCCCCCCAGCCCTATGTGGAAGACTTGGGACTTGCTTCTAACCAGAGGAATATGGCAGAGGTGATGGGAAGCCAATCTTAACTGTCTTAAGTTGCCTCAGACTCCATCTTGTTGGCAGAGTCCTGGGTTCTCCTGTTCATCTTGAACAAACAGGCAGCCACAGAAGCTGCCTACGGAAAGCAGCTAAGTGGCAGGGAATGGCATAGCCTTTGCTGATGGCGGGTGAGGGAATGAAGCCCTTAGGCACAGAGCTGCGAGGAAAAGAACTCTAACACTGCAGGGCTTCGAAGAGGGTTCTCCCGAGTGTGGCCTCTATAGGAGACCGCAGCTCCATCGCTGCCTTGGCTGCTGTTCTCTGAGACCCTGAGCAGGCGCCCTAGCTTCAGTACTGACACTCTGGGTCCTCGGAGACGGGGATAAATGACAAATGTGTGACATTCTACACTGCAAAGCTTATGGCAATTTACTATGCAGCCTAAAAAATTAGTGTAGAAATTTTACTATGTAAAATTTAAAAAAGGAGAAAAATAGTACTGAGTTACTTGGCCAGCTGAGGTATTTATTGATGGTCAAGTATCCAAAGGGCAGCTGTTCTCTATGCTCATTTCCATGATTTTAAGCCTCGGCAATTCCTTGTCATGATTACTGTCACCATACAACTGAACAGCCTGGGACAGGGAGGGGCTAAGACAACTCAACTCATCTGATGGCTCAGCCCTTTCGGTGTCACTGTCCCCTTCAATGACGTGCACAGAAGTTTCGCGGTCTCGCAAGCTGTCAGAAATCCTTAAATTACTTTCATCCCACGTTGAAGGTTCAAAGTTTGCTTCATCACTGACCTGCTGAATTGTAACCTCTTCTGAGTTCTTTGACTTGTAGACAGGCATGAAAAATTCACCTTGCGAGGACGACATCTCGTTGTCCTCCTTTGGTGCAGACAGCAACATATCCAAAGCATTCTGGTACTGCTGGCGCTCCTGCTGAATTGCTATGTCCTGTCCATTTTGCTCTAAATTCGTGGCCTTTTCAAACTCAAATGAGCTCAACATCTTGAGAGCCTTTGGCTGTCCTGAGTTGTCCTCTGATCCGCAGCCTAAGTCTATTTTCAGGCCATGCAGCAGGTGGCGCATTTTTTCCTAGGATTAAGACAGTAATTATGTAATTACGAGAATAATGACCTTAGTCAAGCTCATCAAACTGAGTCCACGTGGTCTGCAGTGCTTCTGATCTCAGCAGAACCCTGTCCCCCCATGCCCTCTGGGCCCCACCCCACAAAAAATGCAAGGGGAAGAAGGTGTAATACATAAAATGCTTTCTATCTATTCTTTTTTTTTTTTTTTTGTGGAACCGGGGATTGAACTCAGGCCCTTGCACTTGCCAGGGAAGCGCTTATTCCACTGAGCCATCTATCTATTCTTTGAGGCCTTGGAAAAAATTTAAGAATTTTTGCATCAGAATTTTTCTAATGAAGTTCTAAGAAAAGACCAAAATGCCTGTCACCCAAGGAATGGATGAAAAAGATGTGATATTTTTATACAATGGAGTATTACTCAGCTATAAAGACAAACTCAAAGCCTTCATAGGTAAGTGCAGGCTTAAATAATAAATCAGACCCACATGTGTAAATACTGTATTGTCCCTCTAGTATAAGGACCCAAAAGAAGAAATAAAACCTGAAAGGTGTAACAGATACAGTAAAATGAAAAGAAATGAAACTTAGGGATTAAACAACAAAGATGAGAGAAAGAGAAAAGGTAGGAAAAAAGGCAGGGGGAAAACATACAGGATGGCTGAAGTGATTGTAGGAAAAATTTCCATCAGTTTTTTGAAAATAGCAGTTAATGTGTAAATTTTCTTTTCTTTTTTCTTTTTTTTTTGCAGAGCTGGGGATTGAACTTAGGCCCTTGCGCTTGCCAGGCAAGCACTTATTCTACTGAGCCACCTCCCCACCCCCAATGTGTACAATTTTCATCTTGACTAACTCTGTATGCTGGTATCTGTGATCTGAGCAACTACATCAATGATAGCAATGTTCGATACCCGTCATCTTGGTCTTCTAAATGTGTACTGTTTTTAATGTCATATCAATTTTTAATATATTTTTAAATTAAAAAAGAGAAAAAAAGGGAAAAAAAGCCTAGAACAAAATTTAAAGGCTTCTTCAAAGCAAGTGGTAACATGCAATCATAATGTTCAAACTTATCTAACTGTACCTGTTAATCTGAGCAACACATTTGATGATAAATACAGGTAATATATCAACCATTGTTAATCTGCTATTCTTGTTTTGAAAACCTGCAACATATGTATTATCGTATGTTACCCTGTTTCTTCGTTGATTTTTGTTCTTGTTTTTACTTTTCAAAATAATATAAAATTAAATTTTAAAAAAAGGAAAAGACAAACCTCTTTCAAACGATGTTTATTTTGTTTTACATGTCGTTCAAATAGTCGTTCTAAAAACCTACAAATGATAAATACAGTGGTTAATGTCTCAAAGTCAGAGCATCAACTTGATATTAAATTGTTATGTAACACTCAAACTACCAAAGCCTGGAATTATTTTTGGTGCTTTTCTTTCTAAAGCTGAAGACCAACTTTCCTGCTCTTTTAAGCTCTTCATTTTTGGTGCTATAGTAAGAAATGGTACAACGAAGGGGATGGGAAGATGGCTCAGTGCAGTAAGTGCTTCCCTGGCAAGTGCAAGGGACTGAGTTCAATCACCGGTTCCACAAAAAAAAAAAGAAAAAAAGAAATGGTACAACGAGCAGTCTTACACTGTTCAGGGAAGCAGGAAAAGTTTTCAGTATAACTACATTTGGTTTGGCTTCCACTACGAGTTTGCCTTCATTTAAACTCTGGATGCTGATGTTTCTGACAGACACTGCTCCTGTTTTTATGGATAAAATAGTTTTATCAGTACACGCTAGCAGTGTGTAATGCTTGCAGTCCTTGTGCGGACGCGGTACATGTACAAAGCATGTCTTTTTTTCTTTGCTTTAACTTTATTTATTGGTACTGGGAATCAGACTCATGACTCTGCCCCTGCCAGCCTGGCGCTGTGCCCCTGAACACCCATGTTTATAACAGCATAGTGTGTAGTAGCTAAAGCCTGGAAATAAAACGTCTTGGCCCTTAAACATGTCTCAATTCCTCTTTCCCTCCCCTTTCCCTTTCCTCTCTTCCCTTCCTCCACCTTTTGATTCTCCTCCCATCTGAGAAAGACCTATCTCCCGATTAGCTGTTACCTATCTTCGTTTTTGCGTTTTTTTATAATTTGGGTTTCTCATATAAGAGAAAACATGAAACATTCAAGCTTGTGTGTCTGATGTCTTTCACTTAACATTATGGTCTCAACTTGCATCTGTTTTCCTTTCAACAACTCAAGTTTATCTTGCTTTACAGCATATTAGCACTCCCCTGTGTGCGGAATTTCGTCCATTCACCTGTGGATGGACATGTGGGCTGCTGCCAAGACTCAGCTGCTAGGCTTCGCGCCGCTAGAAGCACGGCATGCACACGTCACTGCGCCAGCACATCTTGATGAGCAGAGAAATTCTCTCAGACCGCAATGCTTGGCTCTACCTCCTGTCACGCACCAACACAGGCAAACACCAAAAGCCCCTCCCTGTCTTCCTGTTTCCCTTTTTCAGATGCATATACACTCAAAACCAAATTCAAAAGAAAATTCTCTCCTGGAGATACTTTACAATGCTTCCTAAATTATGCTTGCAAAAATACCACTAATGGTGAGTGTACACAGTAACCTGCCAGCCAGTACGTACGAGGCACTGCTAAGTGCTAGGCACGTAACAATAATTGATCTCTATTCCTGGCCAATGTCTAGGGAGAAAGGTGTTATAAAAAAGTTGAAAGATGTAAATACTGTATCTCTAATAATTTCATCTCCTCTAAGGTCACAAGCCATTAAAAAGTTTTACTTAGAGGTGCTTGGTTCCAGAGAATTTATTCTTTCATTTCTTTTTTGATTTGGTACAGGGTTTCACTGTGCAGCTCGGACACATAGTGATCCTCCTGTTTTCAGCCTCTTTAGCACTGAGATTACAGGTGTGGGCCATCATGCCTGGACTCTGGCCGGCTCAGTGCGCCTGGGGGTGGGGCCAGTGAGGCATGTGGCACGGGGAATCGAACCCAGGTCCTTGCCCTTGCCTACACAGGCACTTCATCTGCTGCAACAGCTTGCTGGCCCTGTTCTTTCATTTCACCTTCACATATGTTAATGGCCATCACATTAACAGAGCAGTAAGTTTCTTGGAAGACAAATGATTTCCCCTGTAACCATCTGTGAAGTGATGGCCAACCTTATAGTTTTAAATTATTTAACAAAATTTAAAAGCTCCAGGCCTGGGAGATGGCTCAGTGGAGTAAGTGCTTCCCTGGCAAGTGCAAGGGCCTGAGTTCAATTCCTGGTTCCGCCAAAATAAATAAATAAATAAATAAATAAATAAATAAAAGCTCCATAACCTGTAGATATAGCTAACACTTTTAGACATGTTTCTGTGATTATGTATTTCTTTCCCAAAACTGAAGTTAATAAATACTACTTGGGTACCTATTTTTTTGACTCAGTCATGTATTTTTTTTTTTTTTTTTGTGGAACCGGGGATTGAACTCAGGCCCTTGAGCTGGCCAGGGAAGTGTTTATTTCACTGAGTCATCTCCCCGGCCCCTGTTTTGAACATCTTTATTAACACATTCACTTCTACATGATTTTAAATTACTGATCTCTCTCTCATAAATATTCTATAATTTATTGAACATAATCTTTATTTGTTTTTTGCGGTACTGGGAATTGAACTCAGGACCCTGCACTCGCCAAGAAAGCGCTTATTTTACTGAGCTATCTCCCTATCCCTGAATAATCTCTAGTATTCAACATTTAGGTTTGCTTATTTTTGTTCTTTTGTGACAGGGTTTCACTATGCTGTTCAGGCTGCCCTTGACCATAGTTTGTAGCCCAGGAAGGCCGGCCTTGAACTCACAGCAACCCTCCTGCCCCAGGCTCCTGAGTGCTGGGATTACAGGCATGCACTAGCACACTAAGCCTGACCTCTGTTTTTTTTTTTTTTTTTTCTTCATGGTGCTAGGAATGAAAGCCGGAGCCCTGTGCATACCTGGCTAGGGCTGTGCTACTGAGCTAGCAGCCAACTCATGCCCATTTAATTTTCTTTTTTTTTTTCCTTCCTTCCTTCCTTCCTTCCTTCCTTCCTTCCTTCCTTTTTTCTTTCTTTCTCTTTTTGAGACAGGGTCTTGCTATGCAGCTCAGGCTGGCCTTGTGCTCATTTTGTAGCCTAGGCTTGTCTTGAACTCACAATGATCCTCCTGCCTCCCTGAGGCTGGGATCACAGGCATGTGTCACCACGCCTGGCCCCAGGGCCTTATTTATTTATTTTTGCAGTACCTCAAGCTTGCCAGGCAAGCACTTATTGTACTGAGCTATCTCCCTGGCCTGTGGGGCCATGTTAAACGTGCAGTCACTAGTGCTGTGAAACGCCTCCAAAGCCTTTTTATCTGGCAAATATGAAACTCTACATCACTAAATAAACATTGCTTTGGCCCCCATTTTAGATGGAAGTCTTATTCCCCAAAACTAGGTCTTTTCAATACTATACACCTTTTTATTCTTATAATAACTTTTGCTTTATTTTTTTAAAAATTATAGAATTAGGGAATAGAAATAACTCATTAGAAATAAGATCCACCTGGCATATTATAATTGAGAAAACATGCAGAAGACCAGTGGGGTCCGATGCTGCACACTATGAGGTTGGGCTTCGTGCCCCCCACGAATGTTAATAAACATCAATGTTCACACTCTACTCAGGATAGTTTCCTTAAGATACGCAATATCTAACCTGCCTTTGAAAAATTTCTATTTCACTTATGTATGCAAATCCAGCTTCTACAATACGTAAGGCATTAAGCATGGCTGCTCTTCTCTATCTTGTTTTGAAATTTTGTATCTTTCTTTTTAAAATAAATCTAGCTTTTAAATTTCATTTTACAAAATCTAATAGTAACAGTTGTAATTAAAAAAATTTTCTTTTTTTTTTTTTTTGAGAACAGGTCTCACTGTATAATTCAGGTTGGCCATGGCCTCCCTATATATGTCAGGATGGCCTTGAATTTATGGTGATCTTCCTGCCTCAGGCTCCTAGGTGCTGGGATTATAGGTGTGTGCCACCACACCCAGCCAGTTCTAGTAAAAATTCTTGCTTTTGGTTCTCATGACAGTTTTGTATAGGAAGATGGGATTATAAGTCTTGCAAATAAGAAGGAAAAATTTTATTTTATGACTTT